CTGTCTGACTGATTCGTATTTGCATTCGGAAACACTTGAGACGTCAGATTCCATGCACAGATTTTGGGATAGCGATCCAAGAAACTTCACAGATTTCCTGGCCAGGCCTTGCGCTTCAAGAAAACCGTTCTCTTGAGCGCAATGCTCCTGGTCACGTCTAACCGATTGGAGGCACAGGAACTTGAACCGAGACGAGAGTCATTGGCAAAGCAAAAGGCGCTGGAAGGACATCTGCAAGTTGATATCCGTTTTTCCTGGGTGTTCTCCAAGGGTGTTTGCTATCCAGCCATGCAGGGAGGCTTCACTGGAATGGTTCAAGAATCATTTCCTTGCAGGCACCACTTGTACATGTCGGGGAGACAGGCACAAGTGAGGCGATCGCAGATCGACGTGACGCCGCGATGCAAGGCATCCATCCAGCAGTTGAAAGATTCCGTCAGTCCTGAACGCAGAGAGGCGGGTTGCGGTGGATAGGCAGGCCCTGTGTTTGTAGATGATCAGGTTCTGAATTCTGCCCTTAAGGACATCAACCAAACAGTGATTGGGTTGACAGAATTTGGGACTTGACGCGCCTTTATATACTAGTATATATACCTGGAACTTCGTTACGGCAATAATAATTGCCGTTTTCATGAAACGTCGCCTTTTTCCGTTCTGCGGCGTTCTTCCATATTGATCTCATGGGGACGGCGTTTCTTGATGAACTGCGGCAGTTTCGGTCAGTTGACGGCAATTTTGGTACACACATCCATGTTCCTCAAAGATTCATATTGTTTTAGTTTTAGTGCAGGCGACTATGAAAACATTGTAGGGTCTTGCTTGAAAGGCAACTGAACGTAAAAGGCGTCTTATTATATCAGCAAACTCGCATAGTCATGTGAAGTGGAAAGGGCAGCTGATGGAAGTGTCACATGCTGGGCTTTCGTCGGTTTTCGCGGGTAACTCGACCTCTTGTGCGGCGTTGCAGAAGATTTTGCGTTTAAAGCTACGGCGTTCTTACCCGTACTTGCGGCGTTTTTCCCCGTACTTACGGCGTTTTTCCCCGTACTTACGGCGTTTTCCCCCTACTTACGGCGTCGTTCCCTTACCCTGTCTAGGGTCACTCAAGGTGGCAGCAAGACTTGTCACAACATGTCACAAGCGATCCTTTCAGCCATTGCGTGATCAAAATGTGAACAAATCCTGCCGTGATGTCAATCGAGACCTTAGACAAGGGCTGCAACATCTTGAGAAGTGCTACCATGAGGTTTGAAAACGATGAGCTCTACTTACAAGTGAAAAAGGAGAAGGCAATTTCAGGGTATGGACGGACCAAAACAATATCCTCTTTGGTAGATCAAACAAAACGGCGATTCTTCTTTTGTGACGGCGTTTTCACTTCTCTGACGTCGTTTTCACTTTCCAGGGATTGAGCTACGGCAGAAAAAATGAGTTACGGCAAAAATTATTGCCTCAACAGCCTACGGCAAAAATTATTGCCTCGGGAGGGTCTAGGTATATATATATATATATACAATGTGTCCACATGTGTGGCGTTAAGGATCTGGTGCTACCGCGGAACGACGTAGAAAAAGAACGCTCCGCGAGATTGAACTCACCAGGCAGGTGCTAGTGCTGTAGCTTTGCTCGGTCTTTGCTGCTTGGTATGGGTCATGAAGCCTGCCGATCGCTGAACAGATCTCTCTCCCATTCCGCGAATGAGGACAAGTCCCTGACTACAGTGCGGTATCGTGTATTACTAGGGTGTTGTAGTATACCACTTGGGGCCCTGCACTCTTCTATAACTATTTTTTGGGGGGTCGGGCAGGAAAGAACCCTGGATCCTGAAAGCTCCATCACCGGATCATCCGATCTGTTCGAGGTCCGATGGACCTCCACCCACGGTCGTCGCCACCGCCCCGGCACCAGGCGGTCGTCGCAGTTGGGTGCTTCTGACGCGTTTGGTCGTTGGGCTTTTTCCTTGAGAAGAGAACAGTCGCGTTTACAAGGTCAAGCCCCCCCAACGTCCCAACGTCCGAAACAACTTATATGTGACGTTGGTGTTTGCGCCTCGTAGCATCTTGCTGTTTGCCATGAACTGGTTTCAGGTCGTGTTTGCCATGGAGAGTTGGTTGATCCCACCTTTTTGATCCAAGTTGCACTTCTGGTTCTGGACGTTTGGAGCGGACCATTCCCAAGCGGTCCCTCTGTTTAGGACGCTGGGTCCTTCACCCGTCACGACCTCTTTCAGCCAGCTTTCACCCGCCCTGGCCGGGACGTCGCCACGGAGGTCTGGGGTCCGCGGAGGCGATCTTCCCCACTGGCAGATGTTCAGTTGGATGAGGCGAAATTGGACCATGAGGCAAAGCTTCTCTCAAAACACCAATCAAGCAGCAAACAAACCATTTCCACAAGGCTGGTACCCTTTGATTAAAAATTGCGACCAGGTGGACATGCATGTTCGAAAATCAGAGGAGAAGAAGTGTCTTTGCTTTGGCATAGCTACCGTTGCCTTTCTGCCAGGAGGCAAACTTGGAAAATCCTGCAGGAGTCACGACAGAGTGGGGCGAAGATGGGCGAGTTTTCCGAGGTTTTCTGCCAGGAACTGTCGGTGCACTGCACCCCGGATGCCCTGTTTCACTTCGCACTTTGGGCAAGCCTGAATCCATCATGTACGACTCTTGATTAACAAATTCTCTGCATTTGGGGTCATATTGGAGGATGACCAATCAAGCGTGTACATTAAGAACACTATGAATGATATGATAATCACATTCATATATCCCAGACACTCCATGGGACTGGCATGTATGCCGATCAATTGACCTTCAAACCCATCTCAATATAGGCATATATGGCAGTTGCATATTCACCGTGTCACCGTGTGAGCGGAAAGATCCGAGGTCAGACACCAAGCTTCGTCATCGATCGAGCGCGTAAGCATAGCAGACTTGGGTTTTGGAGCACTGCTTGTGACTCATGTACCTCACTCTAATGACATACTGGCCCAAGACCTGCTGTATATCATGAACATTTACACGTGTATAATAATTACATGACAAGATACTATGACATTGAAAGAACAATTCAATGGTTCAAACCCTCTTTCACAGCCCACTTTCTCCGGTTGGCCACCGGCAGGACTTGGCCTCTGCCGCCAAGGCCGCGGCCCTCCACAGCGCGGGCGGAGCGCCGGCGCCCCGGCGGATTCCGCCGGGGTCCGGCGTGGCCTCGCCTGTGGCCAGTGAGGTGGCAGCCGTGGGCCGGGGGGTGGGAGGAAGACAGGTTGGAGGATAAAGAAGCTTCATCCTCCTTCCTGAGTTCACAAGAATTTATAAAGATATTATATGTAGTACATATATATAATACATTCCATGGTGTATATATATATATATATACCAATTTATACCATCCCATGTTCCAGCAACTTGGTAAAGTGATGTGTAACCTTTGATTGCACATGGTATGTGCTTGTTCATTGTTGCTCCTGCCCTTCTATAGGTGATTCACTTTTGCAGGGCGGCAAGTTCCTGAAGATATCCCGATTCGGCTTATTAAGTGGAAAACCCAAAAGTCCATCATGCCACAACGACGACTGAAACCCATCCACAAGGCCCAATAGGTGGCGAAAAGCACGTTTGTGCCACGGAAGCTCTGCAATTTGAGCTCTGCAAACGGAAGCCAAAAAAGAACCTCTCGAATCGGTCGCCACCGCCAGGAGCGCGACGTCGTGGCTGAGATTCAACAGCCGCCGGTCTTCGTGGGCGCTTCGAAGTGACGCAGCGGCGCCGGGACCTCGTCCTCCTGACGCCACCGGAGTCCCTCCGCGACCGCAACTGGCATGAGCTCCGAGCTCCGAATCGGGTGGGTCTTTTCGGGGTGGATCCGAACGCCAAGCCGGAGGATGAAGGTCCGAGGAAGGAGGCCCAGTGCGGCCACTGGTCGTTGGATCTTTGTTGTTCCTCATGTTAGATGGTCTACTGCAGTTTTTGTGTGAGAGATGATCTCGTCCAAGCAGCTTAGCAAATCTTTGTGCCATTGGTGACCGTAACATTTGTCAGGGTCAGGTCAAACATTCCATCTCCGGCTCACCAAGTTACTAAGCTCACGATCTCAAAACCTCGAAAGTGTGACCCTAACACTGGGAAAACCAGCTGCGGGGAGATGGTGACAACCCAGTGCTGCCCGCGATGGTGACAACGGTGCGGGGCAAGGCGGACCAGCCTGCCGCCCACCGGTACCGATATAGCTCCGCATGCAGCGCAGGTGTTGAGCGTGTACTGAAGAACTTGGCACGACCAACAAAAAGCAAGTTGAGAAGGATCAATGCACCTCACAAAAAAGAAAGCGGTTCATCTTGGGTCGGTCAAAGTCTGGTTGTGATGTGCGTCCATGTGTTTGCTTCTTTTGTAGCTCAACGACTTCAAGTGCTGAGACTAAGCAAAGTTGTTCAGTGTTCTTTGCTCAACATGGAGCCCTCAAACATGGTCGTTGGAACCTTGTTGAATCCAACATAGTTGGTCCAGGAGCTGTCTTTGGAAAAGGCTGCGTGCGCGATACTCACTCAACGCCCACTTCGTTCCTAGCCTGGCGGCTTGATCGGGCCTGAAGCCTGATCAGGCCCTGAAGCCTCGGATTTGGCGTTCAAAAAGCTGCGTCACCGATCTCCTTGCCGCCTTGCCTGTTTGTGACGAAGATGGGTGCGAATCGATCAAATCCACCACCAGCAGTACTACGTTGGTGGCCGATGTGGTTTGTACTTGCACGTGATTCTATGTGATGTTTTCAGTGAAGGGAGAAAAAGGGATATATATATATATATAACTATATATAGGGACAACATATGGACCTACGGCTTTGTCCAACCAACCTGAAAACTCCTTCGAAGAGAGGAAGCGATTTCACTTCGTGTTCCAAGGGGTCATGCCATTTCACTTCGATTGAAAGAAGGTGATGAATGATCGAAGGTTGAGATGCCATCCATTCGTTTTCACCCATGAAGGACACTGCACTCGAAGCAGGTCACTACTGTACGCTTGCTGCAGATGAGCAACGAGACAAAGACACATCGCAACTCTGTGAGCAACTTGTCTTGGAAGTGCTTTGAAATTAGTTTTTGCCTATTAATATTTGTGTTAAAGATGTATATGCTGACCTTACCAAGGTATGTTCCGGAATATGTGGCCTAACCAAGAAAAAGGACATCATGGTTGCAGTCCACCCTTCTTCCTGAAGTACTATTACTAGCGGGAACACCAGGAGCTGTCAGCAGCATGTTCCAAAAAGGGGCAACTGCTAAGACCCGAAAAGCATGTCCCCCTATGGGGTCCTGTACCAAATCAGACCTCTCAGAAGGTTCTGTACTTCCAGATCGATGTGACGGCACTTTTCCGGTCTAACGGCGCCGGGGGGCTGAGGCAGGCCACGAATCCGACGTCAATGCCAATTTGGTTGGTGGAAAACCTGTCAGTTTCACCAGTGGGAAAGGCATTTCAGCCTATGATCTTCAGGAAGAAAGACCGTGAAACAGCATGATCATGCTGACGGGTTGATCTTCAGAAGCCGTCGGTTTCCTGATGCGCTCAATGGCTCGACGGAACATGCAGCTTTGATCCCTGTGAACCCCACCATGCGCTTTTTGGAACATGGTGATCATGTTTCAGGGTTGCACACAATGACATTATGTGACATAAGCATGTAGAGGGCACAAAGGTAGAAAACCGGACTCGCAGATTGAGAAAAGAAATTCCAGAGTGACTTGCCAGCTTGTTTCTGTACAAACAGACCTGACAAGGTTAAGATTCAATTAGACTAGGAGAAGTCAACACACATAAAAAGGGACACAACATAATATATAGAAGCCACCCCGTACTTTAACGCATACATATAAATATTATGTGTGAAAGCGTATCCAACATGTGTACTCATGCCTGAACTGGTCAGAAGGGTCGTGTACATCCACCTCAATCTGAATGGGAAGGGAGGGCGAAGGGGCAATGGCATCGGACTGGGGAGCGAGGTGCCTATAGCTACACAACCATACCCCAACCAGTGACCAGTAGGGTATCGAATAAAGTGACTAGGTACTTACACGGACGTTGTCTAATAGTCAGAGCTAACCTCTAACTTGGACTTATAGGACTTACCTCAGACTTAGCTTGGACTTAGCTTTGCGTTAGCAAAGTACTATAGGACTTAGCTTGGACTTGGCTTTGACTTATAAGTTGACTTATAAATCCGAGCTAAGTCCAAGCTAATTACTATAGAACTTAACTTAGACTTAGCTAAGTCAAAGTTAACCTGGCTAACTCCTATAAGGATTTGTAAGTCAAGTTTAAGTCCTACTTAACCTCTGTAGTAGTTACAAAGGTTAGAATCAAGGTTAGAAAGGTTATAAACTAGGTTGTTCATGTTATAACCTAGTCAACTTTAGCCAACGACCGGGTAAGTAGCATCCCTAGGACACATGAGGGGTGAAGTGTTTGCTTGTTTTTGGCAGGCACTTGACTGACCCCTTGAAGCACAAAGAGATAGGGCCGCAGGACTGGTGGCCAGGCCTCCTTCACGTTGGAAGGGCTTGACCACTCCTTCCTGCTTGCCTGCTGGAAAGTCTCACCCCGGAGCCTTAGCTTGAGCAAGGCAAGGCGCAGGAAAGCAAAGAGGCGCCTGTGCCTCCTATCTCCTCGCCCCATGTCTAGGGGGTTCATGTCTACGAGGTTCCTATGTGTCTCATCTCCTCGCCCCATCAGGAGGCGCCTGTGCCTTCTCTTTCTTTATGTGTGTTCTTTTCTTTCTGTCTTTCTTTCTCTTTTCATTATTTCTTTTGACAAGAACCCCTGTTGTGGATGGCGCGGGGCTAAGCCAAGAACCCCTGTCGGGATGGCGCGGGGCTAAGCCAAGAACCCCTGTCGTGGATGGCGCAGGGCTAAGCCAAGAACCCCTGTCGTGGATGGCGCAGGGCTAAGCTAAGAACCCCTGTTGTGGATGGCGCAGGGCTAAGCGAAGAACCCCTGTTGTGGACGGCGCCTAACGTATCACTTGATAGACTATCATTTTGTAGCTCTAGGCCCCTCATTTTCTAGATGCACTTTCCCTCGAAATGGATAGACGCCCAACCTATCATTCACGCGGGATCAGTTTTTCGTGTTTCTGTCAAGACCTCATCAACTTTTGTTGACTTTTGGTGTTGGGGGGGTCGACCACCAGCCATGCCGCAGCCATGGCACCTGGTTAACTGCATCCGCTTGCAGTGTGGGATCCTGGTGATTGACTATGCCATCCTACTTCACCTTTCAGTTGTCGCTAATTATGTAGGCGGTTGTCTCTGTCGACAGAGACCTGATCAGAAGTGCAACATCCTCAGTTGCTTCTCCACGCCCAGCCTCCAACATATTAACTAAACATATCTAATCACTGTATATCACTATAATATTATGTATGAGCATCTTTTGCGCCATTATTTCACAAGGAATGCAAACAAAAAAAACGTAACTCACCACCCTATGCGCTCCGAGCCTAGGTACACCCAGCTGCCGGGCAAAGATCAGCTCTTTCGAGGTGCTTGTTTGAGACTGACATCCAAATTCGAATTCCAGCAAAATCAGAGCTTCTTTGCAGGGTTTTTTAAAATCTGTAGGAAGGGGGTTCCTGCATTTTCAAGAAAAACATTCGTTTTTCCAGTGTTTTTGATGACAGAAGAATTCCGATGACCCTGAGGAATCCTCTTTGAGTCTTCAAACAACTGATATGCTGGGTCTTCGTTTTCACTGCTCAATATGGGCCGTCTCAGACTCGAAATCGTGCTCAAAAATATCTTGTTATGCATGAAAAGTGTTGCTCAGTGTGGCTCTCTGTGCTTGTCCTGCCAGGTCCCTTGCCCACGGCGCCGGCGGTGAAAACCATGAGGCCACGGTGTGGAGCCTGGTGATGGAATCCAATGATCTAGTGACCTCGTGCTTGTGTTATCCTGATGGGTGTGTTTTGCACATGATAACCTCATCATACGTTCGTCGGTCCGTCGCACCGGGCCCCGGGTTTTTGCAGGTTCTGTCACTAGATGATCGAGTCATGTTGAGTGGTCAGCAGATGTTGAACGAGTTATCCAGGTCCAACGAGGCCATGGTGTTCTTCAAGCTCAGCTGGGCACTCAGAGCGTGCAAGCTTGCTCAGCGGGCATGTCTGGTCCAAAGATGCTGGGAGGGATGGCTGGGAGCCTTAAACACACAGATGACGAACTTCAGTTTCGATATTCAATCTGGCAGAATCCATTTGGCCTGGAGGCCCATTTCGGAACAGCGACGCCAGCGCGGGGCAAATCCTTTGCAACCGCAGGTCACGCCACCGGGTACGGGATCGTGGGCATGGAGGAAACATGCACAAACAACACCATTTATCCCAGACCATTGACCATTCATGGCATTTTTACATACATGGACGTAGTAAATATGCCATACATGGATGGTCTGGGTATATTTAATGATCATATAATGTTCGTTGCACATGTGCTTTCAGACCTGGACATATGGTCTCTTGTTGCCCAAAAATGGCCGCTGTTTGATGGCACTTCCTACAGTCGCTGTCCGATGGTTTGGCTGCCATGACTGAGTCATACAAGCTCGATTGGGAGCTGAGATCCTGTCCTCGAGGGACTTGAGGAACATCCATATCCCGATCGTCAGGCTGTGACAAGGAGCCCGAGAAGCAGCCCATGTCTCGCAGAAGCCTATGTCGCGGGCTTGAGAAAATCATGGAGCATAGTGGGCTGCTATGTCGTGGAATATCTTGAGGGTTCAGACATCTCTTCTGTGCTTTACCTGACAACTGAGCTATCTCAGGAAACGCTCATCCATTTTGGCTGCTTGTGGTGAACTTTCTCGGTCAGCTGCCATCCATTTTGGCAAGTTCTGCAAAGGCCTGGTGGGAAAAACATGTGAAACTTTTCATGCGGGTCTCTTCCAATTTTGACACAGGACACACGACAGGCATCCACGCGAAACCATGGCATTGTCAGAGTCAGAGTCATGCTATGAGAAGTCATGCTTGTTCAGAGTCATGCTGAACTGATTGTTCATCTCCTGGACACAGTGGGAGGCTAAGAAGGTCAATATTGATGGAGCTTTTTGCTTGACTGGAATCATCACTGTCATTGTAAGTTGCAGTCCACGAAGCTGTTTTACCTTTTGCAGTTGCTGCCTTGAAACTTGTGCCACAGCCATTTACAGGCTAAAGAAGGCAGACGAAACGTGTGCGAGTCGCATTTTCACCTGTGACCCTCAGTGACGCAATGGCTTTGCTGAAGTCCATCGCACTCCTCGCGCTTTCGTTCGGCAAGGCATGGTCTTTGGCACCAGGAGATTGTGCTTTCGTTGGCATCTATGGTGAGAAGGATGACTTTGCCATCCTCTTGATGGAGGATGCTGATGGTGAGAAGATCTCCTTGACTGACGGGAATTTCAAGGACAAGAACTATCAGTCAAGCCAGCGTGCCCAAGCCAAAGCCCATGTGAAGGATGCTGTGAAGGGAACAGTCTTGAGGAAGTCTGACTTCCAGACGGAAGATGGCTGGTCCTTCGCTGCTCCTTTGGCCCTCACCGTCTTCAAGGGAAGCCCATCGTCCCCCACGGCCTTGTGTGGTGTCAGCTTGGATGGGAAAGCTGGCAACATGATGGCTCGCAGGTTGGATGATGAGGTGGCCGCCCTGAATCTGGGTGAAACTGAGACCGCCCAATATGCTGGTCCGATGGTTGGCAGCAAGGGAGAGCTCTTGGACGGCATCAGCAACCCCATGAACTGGTTGCGAGATGCAGGAGCTCTTCGCAAACTCTCGGGCTTCAGCATCGCAATGGGCCAAAACAGCACCACCAGCATGACCACGACCTCCATGGAAGAGAACACCACCTCCACGACTATGACCACAACCCTGGACGAGGGTGGAACCGACGCTGGAGTGCATGCGACTGTTTGGTGGATCTTGACCCTCGGCGTGGCACTTCTGAGTGGAACAGAGGCGGCTGGTGGCTGGTGAGGCGTTTCGGTGAGGCGTTTCAGTTTCTCTACTGAACGGCGTTTGAAGCAGTAAAGTATCGGGCTTGGGTAGCAATGACTTCCCACCGAACAGAGCTGAGCACTCACAGAGCTTTATTTAATAGTAGTCCTTTTCTCGTGGCACTCAGTAGAATTTTGGATAAATCTGTGTAGTTTCAAAGATTGGCTATCCAGGGGACAAGCTTTGTGAGTGCCATGTTATAGGGATAGGTTTCAGTCACAGTTCTGTGTTTCCATCAAACGGCCTGTGTCCAGTGAGCTCTTTTGACAAGTCAAGCATATCGTCATATGACTCATAGCTCGTTCTTTCAACTTCGACAAGGGCCATCGACTCAGGCCGCCAGGCGCTGTGAAGGCCGAATTCCCATGCACGACGAGAACTGACACACGACAATCCATCGACGATTGAAAAGTGAATCGAATCGCGGGATGAATCGAATCGCTACGGTGAAGCTTCTCAGTAGGGAAGACCTGCTTGACGGACCATGGCTGGACATGGCGTGATCATGCTACCTTTAGCTGTACGCAAACTCTGAGCAAGAACCCAAAACAAATTAATTTCTAAATAGTAGTAGGAGTTGCTAGTGTTTTTAAGTTTGCGAAGAAAACCAAATCCAATAGCTCATAATGGTCAATGGACATTGCATTTGCTGGTGTCTACCGAGAACACTGCACAACCTTGCAAGACTTCCCAGATACGGCCTGAACACGATCCTTTGCAGGCTTTGCGATTGGGGTCCAAGAGCCTCAGCGTAAAATTGGGCGCACAGTTGTGAGACAGACTGAAGTGGCGGCAGGGTTCAGACCTAATTATGGGCAACACAACACGTAGATCAGTCATAGAACGTTGCCGTGTGGGTGTTAAGATTTGATCCATCCCGGTATGAGCTAAATGTGTATATCTCGCAGGTTAGGGAAGGCTTTCCATTTCGGAGGCACCCACTTCCTGGAAGGTCCAGGAATCAGAGGTCAACAAAATCCCAATTTAAACGATATGCTCGAGCTTTGCCAGGATTCACTAGCCTCGATTTCAAGCTGCAAAGACTTGACTTCTTCCGTGGAGAGGCAGCCTTCACGACTGATTGTTTAATTATCGAGAATTCAGGCCTACACTCTCCAAAACCCACCTAAAAACACTCCAACCCACTACTTTGTGGACTGATGTGTTGGGTTGGGGGGTGTTGCCCTTTGTGCCCCACATGAAAAAATTAACTAATACTATATTATATATATATTTTTTGGGGATACCCTCATCTTTGCTGCTAGTCATGGACTCGAGGTCAGCTGTGTTCCACTGGCAAGTTCTACGGAGGCATGTGGGACTTCAAACAGATAGAGATAGGGTATGGCTATGACTCAATGACCGATTCCAAGCAGTTTGGTGATTGTATACGTATGTTATGTTCCTATCATTTTGAGACGCTCCCATTTGGCACCATAAAAACATTGGATCGACGTGGCCAGTCATGTTGAAATGCTTCCCACGTTTGCAAGGCTGTAGGAGCTTGACAAGTAACAACAAGATCATTATACAGCGACTTGATTGACGGGACAGTGATTATATGTAGATTCAAAAGTGCTTATAGTTACGTTGGACACATACAATTATCTATGACCTTATATGAGTCAGTCTATCTCTTTCTATACAGAAATATACATGAAATCACGATTCAACAACAACTGGTGGGTCACAGATGGCTGCGCGATTATGTACATCTTCAGTTGCTGTATGCCAACGGTTGCTTCTTCCTTTTGCCATAGCCATTTGGGCTAAAGGAAGATCCTTGGGAAGTGCATTTTCACCTGTGACCCTCAGTGACGCAATGGCTTTGCTGAAGTCCATCGCACTCCTCGCGCTTTCGTTCGGCAAGGCATGGTCTTTGACACCAGGAGATTGTGCTTTCGTTGGCATCTACGGTGAGAAGGATGACTTTGCCATCCTCTTGATGGAGGATGCTGATGGTGAGAAGATCTCCTTGACTGACGGGAATTTCAAGGACAAGGACTATCAGTCAAGCCAGCGTGCCCAAGCCAAAGACCATGTGAAGGATGCTGTGAAGGGAACAGTCTTGAGGAAGTCTGACTTCCAGACGGAAGATGGCTGGTCCTTCGCTGCTCCTTTGGCCCTCACCGTCTTCAAGGGAAGCCCATCGTCCCCCACGGCCTTGTGTGGTGTCAGCTTGGATGGGAAAGCTGGCAACATGATGGCTCGCAGGTTGGATGATGAGGTGGCCGCCCTGAATCTGGGTGAAACTGAGACCGCCCAATATGCTGGTTTGATGGTTGGCAGCAAGGAAGAGCTCTTGGACGGCATCAGCAACCCCATGAACTGGTTGCGAGATGCAGGAGCTCTTCGCAAACTCTCGAGCTTCAGCATCGCAATGGGCCAAAACAGCACCACCAGCATGACCACGAGCTCCATGCCGGACAACACCACAGAGACGACTGAGACCACCAGCATGGGTACCACAGAGGAAGACGATGGTGCAGTGCATGCGTCTGCTTGTGGCTTGATCCTCGCTTTGGCGCCGTGGTTTTGGTAAAGCAACGCATCTAGAGCTTCTGAGTGTCAGAAAACAGGAGCTTTCAGTGCAGTGAGAAATTGATGAGAGTCTGAGTGTAGATAAGGTTTCTTGGGAGCAAAGGTTTTCAAGGCCTTTTCTACCACACGTTTTCGGCCATAACGCCACACGTTCGGGTTGCAATGACGCCCCGAGTTTGAGAAGTGGACTCGCAGAGTTTGGGTGTTGTTCTCACGGGTTTGGGTGCCTTTTCTTATGGCACATTATGGCACCGAAGCACAAGAGCAATGTCGTGCTCTTTTCCAAAAGGCAGGCTTTTCACATCTTTTCACAAAGCCGTTAGACACGGGAGCAAACTGTGAGTCCAAGGGATTGAGGTCGCGAACTCACGGCCACACGACGGTGTTCACTGCGAGCGAACTCACGGCTCCTCAGCGACGTGACGAGAAAATCGTGCAGCTCGACGTGACTTTCGAATGTCAGCGACGAGTGTCTCGGGGATTCTCGGGGTGACGAAAAGTGGACGGACTGTGTCAGACGTGATCGATAATTCATGTGAGTGTCATGTGAGTGTCTCGGGGATTCTTGGGGTGACTATGCGGATTATGTGGCAGATTTGAACATTATATATACAACACATGCCATGTGAATCGTGTGTCAGACGTCATGCGACTATATATATATATATATATTTAGTCAAAGTATTTTGGGGTACCATAGGTACCTCAGTTGGTACTATACTATCCACTTTTTCTTCGAGTCAGGATTTATCTATACTTGTTTATAAGCATGTTAGAGCTTGCTTACTGACTTTACTGGTCACACCTACTGAGAATACTGCCTTGCAAGACTTCCCAGATACAGCCTGAACATGATCCTTTGCAGGCTTTGCGATTGGGGTCAAGGAGCCTCAAAGTAAAATTGTGCGCACAGTCATGAGACAGACTCTCGGATGCAGAATGAAGTGGCGGCAGCAGGTTTCAGACCTAATTATAGTGCAGGAGCAGCACAACAGGTAGATCAGTCATAGAGTGATAGACAAGTGGCTATCTTGTTGCTTAGGTTTGATGATGTCAAGCTTTGCCAGCATTGACTAGCCTCCATCTCAAACCTGCTGTGATGGCTTCCTTGCTGTTGGAGTCACCCCCGACTGTTTGGACTAAAATGCTCCTAGTAGCGATGCCAGGAGCCCCTAGTAGCGTCCTTGCTCCTAGTAGTAAGGCCAGGAGCCCCGAACGTAGCTTCTCGTTACTAGTAGTACACTCGTTACTAGTGAGCTCCTAACTACACCCTCCGTCTGTTCGGGTGTTTTGCACCTTCTTTGTGCCTCGCAAGTGACACAGAACCAGTCAAGGTCAGCTGGGCTCCACTTGCCGTCTACGGGGTCAGCTGGGCGGGACCCAAACGCCGACGCGGTCGCAGCGCGGTCGCAGAAGATGCTGAATACCTAAGTGGATCTGGGACGCAAAGACCGTGGATAGACAAGTCTTTGTGAACTGACGCTGAACTGCTACCCTCGCAACGCAAGGTGAGAGCGTTTTCACGTCGCTGGGAGTTTAGATGTTTTGCTTGACATGTCCACTGTTACTGTGGGTTGCACGTGGCTGTGCAGTTGTAATTACTCCTTTATAGGAGTTGCTACCTTTTCAACATGACTTTTTCGCCACAGCCATTTGGGCTGGATATTCAAAAACTGTGCGAGAACCTGTCACATCAGCATTGCAATGGCTTTGCTGAAGTCCATCGCACTCCTCGCACTTTCGTTCGGCAAGGTATGGTCTTTGGCACCAGGAGATTGTGCTTTCGTTGGCATCTATGGCGAGAAGGATGACTTTGCCATCCTCTTGATGGAGGATGCTGATGGTGAGCAGATCTCCCTGACTGACGGGAATTTCAAAGACAAGGACTATCAGAACAGCCAGCGTGCCCAAGCCAAAGCCCATGTGAAGGATGCTGTGAAGGGAACAGTCTTGAGGAAGTCTGACTTCCAGACGGAAGATGGCTGGTCCTTCGCTGCTCCTTTGGCCCTCACCGTCTTCAAGGGAAGCCCATCGTCCCCCACGGCCTTGTGTGGTGTCAGCTTGGATGGGAAAGCTGGCAACATGATGGCTCGCAGGTTGGATGATGAGGTGGCCGCCCTGAATCTGGGTGAAACTGAGACCGCCCAATATGCTGGTTTGATGGTTGGCAGCAAGGAAGAGCTCTTGGACGGCATCAGCAACCCAATGAACTGGTTGCGAGATGCAGGAGCTCTTCGCAAACTCTCGAGCTTCAGCATCGCAATGGGCCAAAACAGCACCACCAGCATGACCACGAGCTCCATGCCGGACAACACCACAGAGACGACTGAGACCACCAGCATGGGTACCACAGAGGAAGACGATGGTGCAGTGCATGCGTCTGCTTGTGGCTTGATCCTCGCTTTGGCGCCGTGGTTTTGGTAAAGCAAATCATTGAGAAGTTCTGAGTGTCAGACTGCCGAAGCTTTGAGTGAAGAGGTGTTGGTCAGTGTCTATAGGGCCTAGGGATTCTTGGCAGCAAAGACTTCCAAGACCCAGTCTACCTTATTTTTGAAGACTAATCTTACGAATCTTAGGGGATCATTGGATCTTTCCAGTTTGTTTCTTTTTTTCGTGGCCTATGAGGTGGATAGTTGAAATTCGATCGGCTTGCCAGAGCCCACATGCTAGGGATAGTGTTGGTGTCGAATGGCCTGGGTGGGGCAAGCTAAGCGTGATTGAAGATGTTATAGGTCGAGCAGTTGTGTCATCTTGGGTGATCTTTAAGGGCCCGGCCACTTGCAGACACTGAAATTCCATGCACAACGAGAACTGAAACATGATCCTCTTGCGTGTGAAAGAAAAGCTCTTTCTGTCGCTGTAAATAGCCGTCGCTAGTAGGTTGGAAGCCATCGCTAGGAGGTTGCAGGTCGTCGCTACTAGGATGGAGGCCATCGCTTCTAGACTTGTGCCCTTTCATGATGGCCGCTCACGGCAGGAACTCTGGAGGCCTGCCGCTCGTTGTCACGTCTTCTGCTCGCTCACCAGGCGTTGACCGAGACCAGCCCACGCTGGTCGGAGCGGAGAGAACTTCAAAGTGACCGAACTTGAGATCCCAGGATGAGGGCCCCCCCCCTTTTTGGGGGTCCCCTCAAAAGAGGTCACAGACAGAGACTCCAAAGGGGTCACTTTGAAGCTCCTGGATGTGTGTGTGTTCTTTTTTTGCAAGCATAAAGGTGGGTGAAAGCGAAGCACCGAAACCAGGGCGACGGAGCTTTTCCAGCTATGATCAGATTCTGGTCACTTGGTGGGTCATTTCCGGGATCAGGGGTAGATTGTCCCAGCGTCATTGGACCTCAACAGGTTTGTCCAGCCGTTCATGTTGTTATAAGTTCTAGAAGTTCCGACCCAGACCCAACAGGACAAGTACCGCTGGCGCCACTCCGTCCCCGCATTCTCAGTGAAGAACTACTCACATTCACTGTCCCACCACGTCCCTGTCCGCATTCTCGACTGCGAGTCGACCACCACGCCGGAGGAGAAAGCGAAAGCAGATCAAAGAAGGGGAAAAGGACCAGTTTGTGAGCCATGAGTGATGTGTGAAAGTGGTGATGTGTGAAAGAGACACACTCCGTTTGGTTCTTGAGTGAACTCCAAGTTCTACCGAACGGACACCGGGCAATCATGTCAATGCGTGAAAGACCTGGTGAAAGACCTTGGAAACCTCAACTTGGTGTAGAGAAGAGGTGCGTTGAGGTTCAGCAAGCTGAAGCCTCTCACGCCTCTCAGCTGTCGATCACTCCACTAAGTGGTAGGACGACGGAAATGGATGTTGGACCTGAGTCGCTAGTTGGTACAAGGATTCCCAGCATTCCTGCACCTTTGTTCATTTGATTTATAGAATTAGAACGAATTAGATATAAGTTTGTTGTTTGTATATCAGGTTGCATGAGTTTGCAAGCCCTTTAGCTTTTAATGTTTGCCCCTACGTCCAGGCTCAAGAAAGCTGACTGGACACTGGCAGCTGTGGGTCATTGATAGGCCTATCCAAACTTCTGTCCTGATGATGGTTACAGGACGGTTGAATAAGTATTCAAAAGCCAACTGAAGGACACATTCCCCACTTTAAAATTAGATCAGATTCTCCATCCATTGCCATTCATCATGACCAAATCGCCTTGTTTTCCTTGCTTTTGACAGCACAGCATCTCCGCAGCATCGTGCCAAACATTAGCATTGTGTAGACCAGTACGTACGCGCCATGCCGCGTGGCCGCGCCGCCTTTCGGCATTGTGTATCTTTCTGGACCGATGTCCTGTTATTGCTGCTTTTAGTGTGCCCGATCCTGGTTCTGGTCACTGCCATGGTCCTGGGAGGGACCTTGGCAGGAGTGGAAGGATGGCCCTTCGCAGATGGCTTCTTAGCCGCGGACAGGATGGCCGTTTTGCTTGTGATGGCGAGATGGGAGATGGGGTCTTGAGCTTTGTTTGGGTATGTGGCCGACTCGTGACTCCGGAGGGTCAAGGTCTGGTTGCGAAGATGAGCATGTGTTTTTCTTTGAGCGCACACTTTCGGGAAAAGGCAGCTCCACCCCAGGGAACATGTTCTGTTTTGTTCTCCTGATCATGCGCGGGGCACCATTGACAAATCCAGACCTGCCAGCAGAAAAGGGCGGAGCTCTTGCTTGTGATAGCCACTCACTTCAATCATAGTTGTGAACCTCCAGTTCAACTGTTGTCTCAATAATCTCCAGCACTGCTTATTGGGAAGATTCTATCATCGAAACAACGGCGGCCGGCAGGTTATGGATCGACCCCACCATTGAACAAAACATGGTGTCCGTTTTCCTTTGTTCTTTTTTGTGGCCACGTGCCACAAAACACAGAATGGTTCAGCATGTTACAATTTGCCAGCAGTCACAAAGGGGTGCAATCCATGGAGGTTAGGGGTGCCCATGATCCACTCACTGGATGGGACTAAACACAACCCCGTCTTGTGACTCCTGGTGAAGGTTTTTTCTTTGTTTTAACCATTTGGTCGCCCAAATTTGGGCCGACCACACTCGTCCTTGTCCCTCACTTTTCCGGTGGTCTCGATAGGTCCTTCGGCCGCCAAGACTCTTTTGCGGGTCGTTCTCCTTGTCCTTCAGGAACCAGGGCTGAAGCAGTTTTTGTTTGCTGAGGTGTTTGTGTGTTGACTTCTTCCCAACGCCACCAAGCTCGGACACACGGTGCCATGTGGTGCCAGATCTTGCGATTCAGCAAGGCTGGCAAGCTTGGGCAGCGAAGGCCAAAAAAGATCGTAACAAAAGAACAAGTGTGCACCAACATGCAACTGCCCCACCCCACCGCAAATGCAAACACTGGTGCGGCTTTCAACCGGCATAAACATACATGCATGCATGCATTTTAATGTACCCCTGTCCGCCTGTAAGTCCTTCTAGCATTGGAGCACAACAAGCGTTCAGCCATGCGAGCATCCGATTGACATCGAACCCGATGCCGGGGCATCGGTGTTTTTGCGCGCACCGCTGCGCGCACCCCGCGTCGCACCCCGCGTCTCACCCACCAACCATCCATTCCATTCGTGCAGGTCGGTCCAAGAAGGTTCAGCGCCAGGTGTTCTTTGAGCGAAAACCAACCATCCCCTCCTCCAACAGCAGAGTCTATCGCCCAAAACAGCGTGGCCCCGCCCCAGCGACGGCGGTTCCAAGGGATCCCATACGACACGACACGACACTCCATGGGACTGCCATAGGATATGCCGATCAAGCCAGACCCAGTCAATACTACCACCCCTGTTTGTATGGATTCATGTGCCAGTCCGGTCATGTCCGGGAAATGTGATGTGGATGTGAGGATCTTATATGTGGATGTTGCTCCTTCCAAGTGTAATACGCTTCACCCTCTATACAGTGCCAGGATGTGCCAGGTGTGTCTTGGATCTCTGACCGCTCCCCGAACGCTCCTCTTCTCGCCAAGGTTTCTTTTATGTGCTGAGCGGCATGACTGGTCAGCCCAACCCCTTTGTCCCCAACACGCCAACGTCAAGCTGGGGCATGTTTGTTGACGGTCTCAACTCCATCTATGGCTTCGTCTTCTCATCTGTGACTGGGCATAGGCATAGTTCTCATTGTGTTTTTTCCTTTTAAAGCTGCGTTTTTGGTGTCATGCATGTGTTGTGGTGGTGGTTTTGTTCTTCCAGATGGGCATTTTGGGGGGAATGTAGGAGGGGCTACTAGTAGCAGCAGCAGTAGTTGCTGGTGTTGGTGTTGACGATGGCGGTGGCGGCGGTGCTGGTGACGGACCCGAGTGTCTTATCGACTATATACCTGTTTGCGTTGAGATGACTTTGTACGTGTGTGGTGGGTATGCGCTTGTTTGATTGGAAGCAATGCCAAAACATGCCCGCAGTTCAAGTTGTGTGGGATATGAAGCATTTAAGCCTGTTGTCGGGAGGGGCCAAGAAACATCCACCCACGGTTCCTCATTCAAGACTGCGATAGCATCCTGTTCAAGGGGACTAACTAATGTGTTCATCCTTCCACCAAGGCCAGCAAGATGTGATTGAAGCAACAGGGCCCTGCACAACTATAAGAAGGAAAAGACTTACATAAGAGGATGAGGAAGAAGGTTAATGCTCTTGCTCATCCCCAAAACCATTTTGCTTTGGGGAACCTCTAATTTTGTAGTTTTGTCATTAGCAATTCATCTCGAGTTTTTGTTTTGTGTACCATGCAGTTAGTTTACCTGAAACATGTGTGGTGGTGGTGTCATGGATGTGTGGTGCTGTGTGTCCAACATGTCGATGAATATCGATTAATCTTTTCTAAACGACCGATCCATGGAACGTTTGACGGAGTTTCGCTGCACCGTGAACGCACAGAGACCGATCCAGGTGATTGTCGGACTGGTTTCCATGTTGACCAACGTGGCCACACTGAATGAGATGTCCATCCTCAGCCGCTTGGGAGTTGAAATATGGAGTTTTTGGAGGGAAGAACTCCAGGCTGTGGCTGTGCCTGGGATGGGGAAGACACCACTACCATACCCGGACTTTTGAAGGTCCTCAGTGGCATTTGTTTGAGAGCATGATCGTTCCTTGCTGGTGCATAGCTGTTGCCCTGGTGACCCATCAGGGTGTGCGGCTGCGCGACCCTGGGTGCAGGCGAATAACTATGAAGAACATTGAAGAACTCCTAAAGCTGAATTCTGACGAAAGATGATCACTGTATATGGAATGAAAACAACTGAATACCTACTATTTGCTCACTGCAAGGAATCTGCTGAAACATCGTTTCGCGGTGTCACCGCGGAAGTGCATTCGCCAGGGAGAGCTCGAAAGTTGGACCCCCCTTGGAAGAATGAACACAAAAATAACGAAAAACCTTTGGGCCAGGGCTGGGTTGTTGCATCCCAAAAGAGGGGAACCCTCACGAGCTGGGATATCTCATCCAACAGCTGGCGATGGGTGGCGTCTGCGGCTACCTGATTGGCCTGGATGTGTCGCTGTGTTGAGAAGGGGAAGCGTCAAACTCCTTCGGAATGGTGCCACGTCGTCGCGCACCAAGTGGACTGGAGCTTTGATCCTGGGGCCTCAATGGGGCCTAAATGGAGCAGGAGCAGGTCTTTTTCCCGCTTCTTCAATGCGTATCCACCACGTATATACCTGCAACCTCAAATGATCAAAAACAATTGTGCATAAAATTCCTGTGCACTACACGTCTTTCAGGAAAAAACACAAAAGTCTTTTGAAATGCAGCTGCACGTTTTCTGATTGTAGCCCTTTGGGCTGTATTGGGTAGCATTTGTCCACTTCCGACGCCTGTCATTCGATGACAAATGAGAACATGCAGCTTTGTCAGAAGTATTGAGATACCTTTGTGGGTCGAAGATGTCGAAGGGTGTGCCCATCCCAAAGGAATGGCGTCCGTTGCTCCCTCAAGAGATTTGGAATGATTTGGAGCTTGTCAAACCGGCAGGGCTCCATTTTGTTGAAGAACAGTCCTGCGTGACAAATTTGTTCTACCCGGAAATTCCCGTCAAATACATGTCTTTACCCGTCCAATTGTCCAATACACGTCTTTTCCCGTCCTACACACGTCTTTCCCACACAATACACATCTTTCCCTGTCCGCTACCCTACAGTTACGAAGCTTATGAATCTGTGGTGGGACATGTTAGCAGAATATGTCAGAGAGTGAGTTCAAGAACTGCAAGCCACAGAGTGTTAGACTGGATCCGTATCAAAATGAAATGGGAGATTCGGAAGTTGAGCTGGAAGCGCAGGCTCCGGCGCAAGTGACAAGCAGGGCCTTCTTGTGTGTTTCAAGACAGGACCATGCTCACAGAAATATACAATTTTGTGTTCAAGTGCATAAATTTCTGTAGAGTACACGGAAATCTCCTCCAAAATCAAATGCACAAAAGTTTTTGCCCAATGAAGATGCAGGTATATACCATTAACTCTGAAAAATGAGACCACATGAGACTCAAGACCAAATAGGCACGACCACTGGGAAAGAAGCTACGTAAAGACATAAACTAACTCTACGCAAAAGAATGAGCCTCCAAAACATCTCAAATCCCTTTTTTTGAAACATACTCAGAACGGTCGACCGCGTTTCGCGACTGAGACGAACGAACGAAATGAGAGAGTTCTGTAAACAGACTGAGGAAACGACCGCTGGGGAGTCGCATTGATCTTGGTGATCTTTCCTTTGTCAGTCCTGGCACTTTGTGCTTTGCTCGGTGGGATTTTAGCCCTCTTGGAGTCCTGGGCATCTTGGAGCAAGAGACATTGGGGAGGCTTTGGACGTGGCTTCTTGTGGGCGACTCTGGGCGTGTGGCTGGGAGGCGTGCTTTTGGAGGAGAAGTGCCATAGTGCTCTAGGCATGTTGGGAGATATTTCTTGGGTGGAAACCTATACTTATAAAAAAGTCCAAGTGGTCCCTAAAGGAGGATACAGGATGATTCTATAGAATTTAGCTGTTCCAGATATTTTCAGATGGTCCCTTTTGGGCGAGTGCAATTTGAGCGAGTCGGATTCAGAGTGTATAGACACATAGGGTCAGACTACCCAACACATTGGCAGTATTGGGGTTACGTATATTTCGACAATGTGTTAAGCAGTTGTTTAGTGTACTATGTACTGTTGCGATTGATCTTTGATGGGCTGGAATTGGAATTGATTTTCCAGATGTGGAATTGCCTCTCTACTGGCCCCTCGATCATCAACAAGGCCAGTGCCTAATGTCAAACACATGACGAGTCAATATTAAATGAACATGAGGGCTTTTGCAGAGCCCTGGGACAGTGGACGCAGGGACACGGTAAAACGAAGACCTTCCGCTGTGAGCACTGGATTGCGTAATGGGATCCCTTGCTATGGTTGGTTTGCCGGGACGGCTGGTCAGGAGGCCTGGTAGAAGTTTTGATAGTGTAGAGTCAAAACTAGACGACGAGTGGCCCGAAAGCATTTTTCACCGCGTGTGAAGTCTAATGTGAGTTTTGTGTTAAGTGTTAAGTGTGAAGTGTTAAGTCTAGTGTGTCGAGTCCGTGTGTGGGTCTCTGTGTGTGTGTCTATGTGTGTATCTGTGTCTGTGTCTGTGCACAGATGAGGGGGTGTAGACGTCGATGCGCAGATGATACGGCAGCACAACAGTGTGGCTCAGGAGCGCCAACCTCTTGGTGTCTTTCTCGCTGTGTCAGCGCACCGCTGAATAGGTCCGCCACACACTAGCGCAAACACAATGCCACCAATCATCCCTCTCTGAAGCGACGCCGTCTTGAAGGACACCCTTGTGGGTCATCCTCAGCTACTCCGCGTACTAAAGTTGTACTACGTCGCCAGTTCTCATCTTCCAGCTCCCCAGATACTCCGCGTACTGGAGTTGTACTACCAAGTCGCCAGTTCTCATCTTCCAGCTCCCCAGATACTCCGCGCACTCAAGTTGTACTACCGCGCCAGTTCTCATCTTCCAGCTCCCCAGATACTCCGCGTACTAAAGTTGTATTACCAAGTCGCCAGTTCTCATCTTCCAGCTCCCCAGATACTCCGCCTAGTACAGTTGTACTGCAAAGTCGCCAGTTCTCATCTTCTAGCTCCCCAGATACTCCGCGTACTAAAGTTGCACTACCAAGTCACCATTTCTCATCTTCCAGCTCCCCAGATGCTCCGCGCACTATAGTTGTACTACAAAGTCGCCAGTTCTCATCTTCCAGCTCCCCAGATA